TTTCCCACAGATGTCTTGCTTTTTTGCATATCATGTATGCAGAAGCACTAACTGTCTTTTATTCCAGCCTATCTTTTCAAGGTCATTTGTAGAGCAAGCATCCTTAGAAAACAGATATTGTCTCCCTTTAGAGCACAGGAAAGTCTGTTTAACGCCCAGTATAATAAATATAACGTTTCCCTCTTCAGTAATGCTTGAGCAGGTTTTGTTACTGTCAGTCATAAAATACCAAGGTTTCTTTTTAAAGTTTTTATTTAAATTCTAGTTAGTTAACACAGTAGAATATTAGTTTCAGGTGTACGGCATAGTGATTTCACACTTCCATACAACCCCCAGTGCTCATCACTACAAGTGCCTCCTTAATCCCCATCACCTTGTTAACCTGTCCCCCCCACTCTCCTTCCCTCTGGTAACCATCAGTTTGTTCTCTAGTGTTAGGAGTCTGTTTCTTGGTTTGAAGCTAGAGAGTATTATGCTAAGCGAAATAAGTCAGTCAGAGAAAGACAAATGCCCTATGATATTTCTCGTATCCCTCATAGGTAGAATTTAAGAAACAAAACGAATGAGCAAAGGGGGAAAAAGAGAGAGAGATACTAAGCTTTTTTAAGCTCAGCGTCCCCCAGCTGTGATAGGAACCCAAGGCACAAGCAAAATCCATGTGGGCACTTGTTCATCCCCCCTGTGGGACTTAGGAGACAAGGGGAACCAGTGTGAATGTAAAGATTCTGCTGTATGCTGTGTCCTGAGTCGGTTTCTTTGACCTAGTTGTCTCTAGTCTTCTGCCAGTATCTGTAACACTGTTGCAAGCTAACTCCTTAGCTTGTTAAGTGGAGTCAAGCCTTACCCATCCTTCCACTCATCCTCCCTATTCTTGACATGTTTAAAAATTCTGTTTTATATCTTTATATCTACAGCTTGGTAGCTTCCAGGTTTTGCCCATTATGAATAACGCTGCTATAGGCATCCATTCATGGGCAGATTTTTGTGCAGACATAAGTTTTCAGCTCCCTTAAGTAAATATTAAGGGACACAATTGCTTGGTTATATGGTAAAGGTATGTTTAGTTTTGTAAAACTTTAATATTGTTATTTTATAAGTTTCTGTTTATCTGATGATGGGAAATGGTATTAAGATTTTAATTTCCATTTTCTTGGTACATGGTAAGGCTGAGACTTTAATTAGTTATTTGGGTTTCTGCATCTATGAGATACCTGTTCGTATTAGTCTGATTTTGCTCTTGAATTATTTTTCTTACTGAGTTAGAAGAGTATTAATATAATCTAGTTAGCTCTACGTGTTCTAAATATCTTCTTCAAACATCTACCTTTATTTTCGCTGTTTAGTGGGGAGCACCGATGAGAGCTTTTTATAGCAAATTTTTAAATTTCATATTTATCTCAAATTTAAGATTGGCTAATTTATCAATCTTTTCCTTTACTAATTGTGTTTTTCTATTCTGTTTAAGAAAGTACTATCTTACTTGAAGTCATGATGACATTCTTCTGTATTTTTTTCTAGGTAGTTTAACTTTTGCTTTTTAAATTTAAGTCTCATTTGACCTTCATGAGACTTTTTCTTTTCTTTTTTCTTTTTTTTAAAGATTTTATTCATTCATTTGAGAGAGAGAGCATGTGCACACAAGCGGGGCGAAGGGGCAGAGAGAAAGGGAGAAGCAGACTCCCCGCTGAGCAGGGAGCCCAATGTAGGGCTCCATCCCAGGACCCTGGGATCATGACCTGAGCTGAAGGCAGATGCTTAACTGACTGAGCCACCCAAGCTCCCCTTCCTGAGACTTTTTCTATATGAGATGTGAGCTAGACATCAAATTCATGTTTTTTCCATATACATAACCAGTTGGATGATAAATCTTTTCTGTCGTCTATGTGAACAACCCCACAAATATAGACATGGGCTTTCTGTTTTATTCCATAATTTTATTTGTCATTTTTCTATCCTGTATTAATTGCATGTATTTTAGATTTACATATCCAGAAATATAACAGATTAGGCTATAGAATTAAGACTAACTCAGCCTCAGAAAATAAGCAAATATGTAAATATATGAAAAAATATATATGCACATTTAATTATATAGTATGTATGTGTATATCACTAGGTAAAAATGTAAGGAAAAATGGAAACACAAAGTATCTTAATTGGAATATCTCTCCCAAATTGCTTTTGCATTCAGCTGCTCACCAACCCAGACATAGTTTGGTAGTAGTGATCAAACAGGAATCAAAACCCAAGGTCTGCCTAAAGCAAGGGATCATCTACATTTTAATCTGTGACACCAAAGGGTTTAGATTTTTTCTTTTTTATTTATTTATTTGAAAGAGAGACACACAGCGAGAGAGGGAACACAAGCAGGGGGAGTGGGAGAGGGAGAAGCAGGCTTCCCGCTGAGCAGGGAGCCCAATGCAGGGCACTCGATCCCAGGACCATGGGATCAATACCTGAGCCGAAGGCAGACGCTTAAGGACTGAGCTACCCAGGCGCCCTGACACCAAAGAGTTTAAAACAAAAGTACAAGTGAACCATATTGTTGATGCACTTAGGAGCATGTCAGAAACAAAGGTATATCTCTAACTGTGTCCTAGGCAGCAAAGAACCCCCAGTAATAGTATTTTTAGTTACATGATCAACACACAGTTAAAAATAAACAAAACAGAGAAAAGTGCCAAGAACAAGGACTATAGACTTCAGATATAAAAATATTATAAGGCAACTATACTTACACTACTTATATGAATAAAAGAAAACTGAAAATGTATGCAAATAGAAAATTATGAAGTGGCACAATAGATTTTTTTAAAAACTTCATTCCTTTAGAGTAGTTGTAGACTCATAGTAATATTGAGCAGAAAGTACAATGATTTCCCATATACCCCCTGCTCCAGCACATACATGGCCTCTACCAGTAACAACATCCCCCAACAGAGTGGTACATTTGTTACAATTGATGAACCTACACTGATCCATTATTATCAGCTAAAGTCCATAATTTACATTAGCGTTCATTCTTAGTGTTGTATGTTCTGTGGGTTTATAATTACATGTATCCACCATGGTATCATACCAAGTAGTTTCACTGTCCCCAAAATTCTCTGTGTTCAGCTTATATATCCCTCCCTCCCTCCCCCCAACTCCTGGCAACCACTGATCTTTTTACTATCTCCATAGTTTTACCTTTTTCAGAATGTCATGCAGTTGGAATCATACATTAAACAGCCTTTTCAGATTGGTTTCTTTCACTTAGTATATGCATTTAAGTTTGCTCGGTCTTTTCATGTCTTAATAACTCATTTCTTTTTGGCACATGTAATAGCCCATCGTCTGGTTGTGGCACTGTTTGTTTGTCTATTCATCTACTAAAGGACAGCTTGGTAGCTTCCAGGTTTTGCCCATTATGAATAACGCTGCTATAGACATCCATTCATGGGCAGATTTTTGTGCAGACATAGGTTTTCAGCTCCCTTAAGTAAATATTAAGGGACACAATTGCTTGGTTATATGGTAAAGGTATGTTTAGTTTTGTAAATAAAAACAAAACCCAAACTATCCTCCAATTTGACTATACCATTTTGCATTCCCATTATCAATGAATGAAAGTTACTTTTGCTCCACAACCCCATCAACATTTGTTGTTGCCAGTGTTCTGGATTTTGACTATTTTAATAGGTATGCAGTGGCTTCTCATTGTTTTAATTTGTATTTCTATGATGATATACAGTATTGAGCATCTTTTCTGTTATGATCCATGGTCCATTTTTTAACTGGGATATTTGTTTTCTTATTGTTGAATTTTGAGAGATTTTTATGTATTTTGGATGTGTCTTTTGCAAATATATTCTCCCAGTCTGTGCTTCTCTTTCAGTTGTCTTGATACTCTCTTTTGTAGGGTAGAAATTTTTAATTCAAAGAAGTCCAGCTTATCAACTATTTCTTTCATGGATTGTACTTTTGGTATTGTATCTAAAAAATTGTTGCCAAGCCCACAGTCATCTAGTTTTTCTCCTATGTTATCTTCTAGGAATTTTGTAGTTTTATGTTTTACATGTCAGTCTGTGATCATTTCCAGTTAAATGTCATGAGAAGTATAAAGTTTGGATTTAGATTCAATATTTTACATGTGGATGCCCAGTGTTCCATTGCAGTTTGCTGAAAAGACTGTTTTTGCTCTACTGTATTTTCTTTGCTCATTTGTCAAAGATCAGTTGACTATAAAGAAGATGTGGTATATATACAGTGAAATATTAACTCAGCCATAAAAAAGAATGAAATCTTGCCATTTGCAATGACATGGATGGAGCTAGAGAGCATTATGCTAAGTGAAATAAGTCAATCAGAGAAAGACAAATACCATTATGATTTCACTCATATGTGGAATTTAAGAGTCAAAACAAATGAGCAAAAGGGAAAAAGAGAGAGGCAAACCAGGAAACAGACTCTTAACTATGGAGAACAAACTGATGGTTACCATGGGGGAGGTGGGTGGGAGGATGGATTGAATAGGTGATGGGGATTGAGGAGTGCACTTGTCATGATGAGCACCAGGTGATGGATGGAAGTCCTGAATCACTGTATTGTACACCTGAAACTAATATTACATTTTATGTTAAAAAACTGGAATTTAAATAAAAACTTAAAAAAAGAATAAAAAAAGAAGTAGTTAAACTTATATCTCTTCAAACCTCCGGAATGAGACTGTAGTCGAAACTATTGTTTTATCCTCTGACTCTTAATAAAATGGTATATTGAACCTGTTTAATCAGCCAAACTACCCTGTGATAATTTGGTAATTATCTGCAAACATCTGCATGGAAACATCTACAGAATTTGTTGCTTATTATAGAAACTTGAACTTTAATAAAATGTAATCATATAATGTATTTTCTTATTTAATAAAATTTCAGAATGCTTTTTTGCCCATTTTGTTAGAACACAGTAACTCTGAAGAAAATACTGGGAATATTATTACATAATTCTTTTGATTTCAGGCTGGACAGCAGCGTTGGTGGGAACAGGAAATTAAAATAAATGGAAATATTCAAAAAGGAGAACTAATTACATATAACTTGACTGAGCTAATTAAACCAGAGGCTTATGAAGTCCGACTAACTCCTCTCACCAAATTTGGCGAAGGAGATTCAACAATTCGTGTCATCAAATATAGTGGTAAGTAGTCTTTTATTTAAAAGTATTTATTTGCATATTAAACTGTCTGGAATATGTACATTATAACTATCTATTAAATTTAGAAAAAAACTAAAATTTAGCATATTGATCTTCTGGATCATTAGCCAAGTGACCAAAAAACAAACAAACAAACAAAAACCCAGCAGACAAACAAACAAACCCAGAAAACTTAATCATTTTAAGTTGTAATATTTGATTTAAATGTAGAAATGTAGGGGCGCCTGGGTGGCTCAGTTGTTAAGTGTCTGCCTTCAGCTCAGGTCATGGTCCCAGGGTCCTGGGATCAAGCCCCGCATCGGGCTCCCTGCTCTGCGGGAAGCCTGCTTCTCCCTCTCCCACTCCCCCTGCTTGTGTTCCCTCTCGCTATATCTCTCTCTGTCAAATATATATATAAAATCTTTAAAAAAAAATGTAGAAATGTAAAGTAATGTTTTAGTTAACATTGAATTAATGTGATGTCAACAATGTCCCTTTATCCTCTATCCCATATTATGATATAATTATTTGCATTTTTTTCAAGTTCTTGATGTCTTTAAAATTTACATCATTAAGAAGTTAGCAAATGTTATCAAAGCTTGTTTTTTAATTGATAGACTTGATGTCTTAAAGCATCTTTAGATTTACAAAAAATCACGCAGGGTGAAGAGAGAGCTTCTGTATATTTCCTTTCCCCCAACACAGTTTCCCATATTATTAACATATTTCTTTAGCAAAATTTCATACAAAATAATAATCTAAATACAGAACTTTATACCTTTCATGACATTTAACTGAAAATGGATCACAGATCTACATGTAAAACATAAAACTACTAAACTACTAGAAGATAAAGAATATTGACATATTATTATTAAAGCAAGTAGTTTACATTAGTGTTTATTATGTTGTACTGTTATATGAATTGATAAGTTGATATTATTTATTCACCATTACAGTATCATACAGAATCATTTCACTGCCCTAAAAATCCCCTGCTCCACTTACTCATCCATCCCTGTCCCCTCCAAACCTGACAACCACGAATTTTTTATTGTCTATCATTTTGCTTTTTCTAGAATGTCATATAGTTGGAATAATGGAGCATATAGCTTTTTCAAACTAATTTAGCAATATGCCTTTAAGGTTTTTCCATATCTGGGGCTTGATAGTGCATTTCTTTTTATTCTTTAATATTCCATTGTATAGATGTTTCGCAGCTTGTTGAAGTACATCCTAGTTTGGTTTTTTTTAGTCATTTTTTCTTTTAGATTGCTAATGTTAAAAATATCTAAATGTCGGTGGGTGTGTTTGTGTGTGTGTTAGTGAAACAGGTTAATATTTTATCAATTGAAATTTATGTGAATTATTTCAGTTGAAATTTATGATATTCAGTGACTACCTCTAGAATTGTCAATATATTTTTCAGGGTTGAATGAATCATTGGCAAATATTTTGTTTATTTCATTACTTTAGTGAAATATTATTCTCTTTATCATTGATTACTGGGCTTGATTTTAAAAAATAATAGAATGTGTTTTTTTGCGGTTGGAGTTCTCCATTCAGTTTAGCATTAAGCATGTTTTTCCTACTTAAGAGGTAAACTGAATACTATCATAAAAAGTACAGTGAAATTATTAAAATCGCATTAGAGTTGTTTTTCACATGAAATCACTTATTTTCACTCTCCTTATCAATTAGATATATTCAATTTTCATTAAAAAAGATGATATACAATATAGAGTAGGATATTAATAGATCATGGATGTAAAAGCATTAGAATAACTATCTTTTTCTTGAATATGGTCCTTTACAAATAAACATTTGTAAAAGCATTAGAATTACGGCACATCTTTTCTTGAATGAGGTCCTTTAAAATATACCTTTTTTGTTAATGCTATAAATATTAGTATTTGATAGCCATAAATAAAATTTAATGACAATAACAATTGTTATTCTGTAATTACCTCCATTGGGCACACAATTAGATAGCATCTCAGTATATTTTTCTAAAATTTAATTTTATATTTTATAAAATATGAATTATTATCTCCTCTTATCTAAGTTTCATGCTCCCTGCCCTTGAGTTATAAAACTGTAGACAACTCAATATGAAGGGGCATTAGAAACAATGCACTAATATCCATTCCTTTAAAAAAAAGAAGATATTAGGACCTTGAAAGTTTCAGTGTCCTGCTGAATTAAACAAGTATGAAATGACGAACTCTGAATAGAACTAGGGCTAGTTGACCCTTTCATGACAGAAGACCCTTGTTGCTTTTCTATGCTTAAAAATTATGTAACTTTTCTTAAAGAGAACTAGAGAAAAATATCTTTATAAGCTCAGTAGTTTTACTGAAAACTCTGAGGCAACAGAGTAAAATGAAAAATAAATCTGGAAAATAGATATTATGGTAGTTTCAAAAGCTTTAATTATCTTTACATTCTTAGGCATACTTATTAAAATCTTAAACATTTTAATGAAAATTACTTTAATATAGGCTTGGGTAAAGTTTACTTAAATGGTATCTAGACAGTTATGAAAAATTACACATGAAAGTTCAACTGTAAAAAGAGAAAAATGGGCTCACTGAAATATTTAGAATTTATTTATTTTTCTTAAAGATTTTATTTATTTATTTGAGAGAGAGAATGAGATAGAGAGAGAGCATGAGAGGGGAGAGGGAAGCAGACTCCCTGCTGAGCAGGGAGCCCGACGCGGGACTCGATCCTGGGACTCCAGGATCATGACTTGAGCCGAAGGCAGTGGCTTAACCAACTGAGCCACCCAGGCGCCCTGAAATATTTAGAATTTAGAACGGAAGTTTTCACATGGTTAAATCCGCTACTTACCGTGAATTTGATGAATAGTAATAATTGTAGCAGAAGACTCAGTTAAAACTCAGTGTGGTCAGAGGTTAACTGTAGGTGTGACATATATTTTAGAATCAAATTAGAATTCAAAGATGCTTACTTCTTTGTGAGATAATACATAGACAATTTTAAACTTTCATATCAATTATGAAATGATTTGCATTCTTACTAATTAACTTTCAAATTATAATATATTGATATTTTGCAAGAAAAAGTTAGTGGTTTTTTTTTTCTCCACTTCGGTGGAACGAGTAGATATATAGTCCCCTCTCTACTTATTTCATAATTGGCAATGGGGAAACAGAATCAGAAAAACAAAGTAATAGAAATTGTCTATCTTCTGTAAGAAATAGTAAAAATATTTGATTGAGAAACTCACTTTGTTAAAGTCGATCTCAATGTACTAATGTAACAATTACTATGAACATGCTTTGTGCACGGGTATGCATTTTTTACTATCATACTTCATTTGTAAAGTCCAAGTTTAAAAAAAATGGTTAATGGAAAACGCTAGAAATTAACAACAGAGCAGACAAACTTCTGCAAGTTAGATTAACTGCCTATTTTAATCTTGGGAGACCACAACAATGCTTTACCTCATCCAGAATGAAATTTTCTCTCAAAGTGATAAATAACGAATCAATATACACAGGTACCATTTTGTCTGTTAGATTAGATACATTTTTGTTGTTGTTTCAGTAAAATGTAAAGTATTCATTCCTCTTCATGTAGAAATCAATTGTCACTTGTATTGTAAACACAGTTTTTTGAGATAAATATGTCTTCTAGTGCACAAAAACACAATTGTATTGCTTGTTATTTGAAAACCGTCTGTGTGTGTGTGTGTGTGTGTGTGTGTGTGTGTGTGTGTGTGTGTGTGTTCATGTAATCAAACAAAGCAGCACTGGTGTAGCTATTTGTTTTGAGGTGCATGTAAAAACATGATATAAGATTTGCTTTATTTTCATATACACCATGTTCTTTTCACCAGAAGTAGATAACAGCAAAAAAACTAAAGTGTAATCTCTGTTGGATAATTGCTTTCATTGTTAAAACATCTAGATTATAGGTTGGCCTACTGTCAGCCTGAGTTTGATTTCTGGGGGTTTTTGCACTGGTTAAGATATAAAAAATCAGCAACTCTGTTCCTTGGAAAATGAACAAATCCCACATGCTATTTAGCATTGATCTTTTGGGTACTTTGAGACTGTTATTGCTGAGCTCCAAAGTAGATTCTATTCAGTCCTCTAGAACAAAATGGATTGCAGACATAATTCTCCATGGTCACAGTGGGGAAGATCATTAAGTTTTGATAAGGAACTATGAGACACTGATTAGACTTTTATTTATAAAAGACATTCAAGCCATGCTAACATTATTTTTTGCTTTTCTTGCAGCTCCCGTTAATCCTCATTTGAGTGAGTATATGTTTATTTTAATAATGGTGCAGCATTTCAGTTAAGAAAAGTAGAAAACTCATAGGCATATAAAGATTATTTAGCAACTGTTCATATTTGGTTTAAAACGGAATGGCATAGAAACAGTAAAACTACCATTAAATATGAATTGTGAATTTTAAATTTTGATGGATATGATTATAAAGACAAACTATTTAATATTCATCATTGATTTTTATAAGTTTTCCTAAATATGGAGCCATTTCCTCCAACTTAACATTTGTTATTTGTTTAACTATAGGATTATGTTTTTCTTTTGTGGCAATGCATATCATTTATATTACTATTATGTGTTTCTTTATTTTCTTTTTTAATTTCTATATTCCAGTTATGAAAGACTATAGTTACAAAGTTGGCATTTGAATGGTTTAATCAAGATTTTTTCATACATCACTAGTCTATATCCCCATTCTTAATGAAGATAGTCTGTTCACCATCCTCTTGAATATTTCACATTAGAGTAAAGATTGATTTTTGTCTTACATTTTGTGCCTATGAATATATTGTTCTTGGCTAATAAAAGAATGGAGAGCCACCTTTGCACTCTTATTCCCATCCATCCAATATTCTCCATTACTTATATTCAGTGAAGAAACTGTGCAGGTCTTTTTTCTCATTTTATTATGTTTCCTTCCTTATAATGGCCTTTCACTGATTATATAACCCAAGACCAAACTACATAACCTGTTGCTACCTTATTTTCTGCCCAAGGTTCTCCTTTACTCCATTTCTGCATATCCAGATTATAATACTGAATATGTTCATGGATCTTTCCTGTTTTCATATTGCTTTCATGCACAGTTCATTTTGTTCTCACCAATGACCCTTTAATGTGGATATTCTCAACCCTTTGAGATTCATTTATAAAGTTTAGCACAAATGCTTTCTTCTTCACTGAGTATTCTCTCCATTTGATTTCCAAAAACAATTTGTCTTCATCTATGTTATAAGCTATTTTTTATTTTGTCATAAAATACTTAAGAGCTAAATATGTTTCTAATTTCTCTCTATATCTCACTGTCTTTTGGTATATCACAGCATCTTATACTTAGCAGGTGTTCAATGATCATTTGTTAAGAGAACAAATACACAACAGTTTCAAGATGAATTAATTGCCCAAATCAGGTTCTCCCTGGCTTCTCCCCAGGGTTCTATTGCTATTTAATTACTATATTGATTATAATTCTTTTGAAGGTAAATTCTCTGATTATAATTTCAGTAGATATGTTTAAAAAGAGTCATCATGGGAACATTAAAACTTGATACAGGAAAAAGTTGACAAATATTTCAATTCAAGGAAAATTTTTTTACTAGCTTTTTACTAGCTTTTACTGGGAAAAAATGCATATGTAAAGAAATAGTAGAGATATTGTTTGCTAACAGATGACTTCCATGCAATATAAAAAGTACCATTAAGTTTATGGCAAATGAAGTTTTATAAAAGACATGCTATTTGAACTGGGTCCTGAAAGTTGAGTAGAGGTTTCTTAGGTGAAGAAGGTGAGGAAAGGAAGGTCATGTTCCCATAATAACTGAGCAAAGCTCAGTGTGTCTAGAGTATATATTCAAACATTACAGAAGCCAGAAATGTGCCCTTAAGATGAACAACATTAAATTGGAATTTGAGTGCTTCTTTTAAAAGCTCGTATCCTTTAGGTCATAGTTACCCACGTCTTCTCCAACAAGCATTTTATTTATTTATTTATTTTTTTTGGTTAGTCAAACAATGAATTGGATTTTCTACTTTTAAAATAATTTCCATTATAACTCTCCATACTAAAGATTTCTATTGACTGTACTTTTTTTTTACTAAGTGTTCAATATGGTAAAAGATTAGAATTGTTCAGAATAAAAAAAAAAAAAGAAGAATTGTTCAGAATAAAGACTTTTTAGTAAACATCACACAATGATTTTTCTAAGTTATCAAGAGTAATTATTTTTATGTTATTGAACAGTCACATACATTTCTCCCTTATTAATTGATTTCTTTAACCCTGTTAAAGAACCCTCCAGGTCCCAAAGACATAAAAGAAAAATGTTTTATCAAGGAAACACATTCATTATACATTCAAACTCCTAACAAATTAGCCAGACATTATTCAATAAGAGGAAAATAGGCCAACATGTAGAAGGTCATGTTTTCTTTTACATTTTGCTATGGAAAGTTAATTTTTCTTTCCCTCAGACTACTTTTACCTGAGATCTTCTTAAATGGTATAATGTCTTAAATTTTGTCATTGCTTTTCAAATCATAATTTACATATGGTAAAATTAACACTTTTTTGTGTGTATACTTCTGTAAAGAGTGTTGCCCAATTCATACAGTTATGTAACCATCACCACAAGTTCCATCATCTCTATAAAGTTTTTGTATTGCTGCCTTGTAGTTAAACCTGTTGGCATCCCAACCTCAGACAAACTTGATTTTTGTTTCTATACTTTTCCTATAATTGTTCAATTAGTTACAATATACTTACTATTTATTCTCCACATTTCATTAAAACATATTTTCCCAGTAATGATAGTAATGATGCTGAAGAGAGAGTGAAAATTAAGCAGTTCAAGGAAAAAAAGTCAATGAGGAAAAAATGAAATTAAAAACATTAAGTACTTCTGATAGGATTGTAAGTGATTTCTTAAAATGAAGAAAATGCTGCCAAATCTTACTTCTTAGGTTATTTATAATTATGTGTAATGAATTCTTATAATACCATTTAGTAATATTTCTTCCATAAAAGATTATTGTCTATATAATAAAGTTTAAAAATCTTTTGATTAGGGCACCTGGGTGGCTCAGTTGGTTAAGCGACTGCCTTTGGCTCAGGTCATGATCCTGGAGTCCCGGGATCGAGTCCCACATCGGGCTCCCTGCTCGGCGGGGAGTCTGCTTCTCCCTCTGACCCTCTTCCCTCTCGTGCTCTCTGTCTCTTTCTCTCTCTCTCTCTCAAATAAATAAATAAAATCTTAAAAAATATAAAAATAAAAATAAAAATAAAAATCTTTTGATTATATGTTGGCTTAATTATAAATTATGGTTTATCTGAAACATCTTTTTATAGAAAAAATGTAGGAATATATTGGAATATATATTATATTTAATATAATACATGTGATATGAGACATATATTGGCAGCAAATAAAACTAATCTTAAATCCTCTTTTGCATTTTAACAACTTATATAGTCTTTAAGTGAATTGACTTATCCTAATTATCTACTTCCAATATATCTATATAAAGTAAGTCCATGAAATTTGATCATGGTATGATTCTTCATTAGACTCAAAATAATTACCTTTTAAATTTAAAAAAGGAAGGCCTTTTGTTTATAGTTTTTTAAAAACTCTTTTGATTGAAATTTTGAACTGAAGAGAAGGATGACTAGTTGTCGAGAAAACCATATCCTACAGGCTCCATTAAGCACGGGCAGCGTCCTTCTTATACATTGCTGATTTCCTCAGGAAAAGGGTACCCTTGGACCAAACCTGAAGTTTAGTCTGTGATTGGACTGTGTTAATTGAAAAGAAAACAAAAATACTGAAATAAGATTGAAATGAATTCTGAGGTCTCTCAAGTATTTCAGCAACAGAGTTGAAATTTTCTGTAAAGAGGTTTTAAAGTATTTGAAAAGTGTATTTGTCTGCTTTAGGTTCTGAAGTCCGAATTGTTAAAATTCAGAACTTCTGGAAAAAAATTTTGGACTTCTTTTGGTTTATATTAAGTACAAGATGGTTTATACATATATGAAATACACATATATATAATATAAATATTAATATGTATAATATAATAATATAAATAATATATATGTGTGACAGTCTCACTATCTCTAAGAAACAACTTAAAACTGAAAAGAAAGTTTACCATAGTAGCACACTCTAAAATGTCATTCCAAGTTAGAGATAATAAACAAATTAAGTAAAGTGAGGTGACACAAAATCAAAGGACAAAAAACAGTGACATTTCTGTACATTCACAGTGAACTATCTGAAAAGGAAATTAAGAAAACAGCCCCATTCAAAATAACAACAAAAAGAATAGAATACATAGGAATAAATTTAACCAAAGAAGTGAAAGACTTCTACACTAAAAATTATAACACATTGTTGAAGGAAATTAGAGAAGACAGGTAAATGGAAAGACACCCCGTGTTCATGGATTAGAAGAATTAATATTGTTAGAATATCCATACTTCCCCAAATGATCTACTAATTCAGTGCAATCCCTATCAAAATGCCAACACCATTCTTTACATAAATAGAAAGCAATCTTAAAATTCATATAGAACCATAAAAAAGCCCAAATAGCTAATGTAATATAGAAATAGACTGATAGAATGGAATAGGAAGCTTACAAATAAATCCATGAATTTACAGTCAACTGATTTTCGGCAAGAGTGCCAAGAACACACAGTAGGTCTCTTTAATCAACATTGCACATTGTCAGTGGGGATGTAAATTGCTACAGCCATTTAGAAAACAGTATGGAGGTTCTTCAAAAATTAAAGATAGAATTACCAAATGATGCAGCAATCTCACTTCTGGGTAAATATCCAAAGGAAATAAAGCTCAACCTTGATGAAATACCTCCAATGCCAAGTTCACTGCAGCATTATTCACAATAGCCAAGATATGGAAATGGAAATAATCTAAACATCCATCAGTGGGTTCATGGATAAAGAAAATGCAGATATTAGTCAGCTTTTAAAAAAGGCTGTCCTGCCATTTGAGACAACATGGGTGAATTTGGTTTATTATGCTAAGTGAAATAAGCCAGACACAGAAGGACAGAGGCTGCATAATCTCATTTCCATGGCATCTAAAATAGTCAAACTCAGAAGCAGAGTGTAGAATGGTGGCTGCCAGGAGCAAGAGGGAGGGGGAAATGGGAAGATGTTGGTCAAAGGGTATACACTTTGAGTTATGTTAGATGAGTGAGTTCTGGAGATCTGTTGTGCAGTATGGTGACTATGCTTAACAATACTGTATTGTATATTTGAAATTTGCTAAGAGGGTAGATCTTTAGGGTTCTCACCTCCAAAAAAAGAAAGGAAGGAAAGGAGGAAGGGAAGGAGGGAGGGAGGGAGGGAGGAAGGGAGGGGGGGAGGGAGGAAGGAAGGAAAATAATGGTAACTATGTGTATGTGAAGTGATGAATGTATTAATTTGCTTCATTGTGATTATTTCAAAATATATATCAAAACATCAAACTGTATATAACTTATATATATATAACTTTTGTTTGTCAATTATATTTCAGTAAAGCTAAAAAAATAAAGTAAAAAATAAAGAAACAGGATAGGTGGGTACAAGAGGGAGTCATTGGGCTAGAGGACTATTGGGCATAGGCTGCTTTTCCCCAAGTTTTAGTCTTTCTTCACCATAGGGAGAAGAATTGGGGTAGTGAGACCATGTAATACAAAATATTTCAGATATATTTATTTCTAAGTAGCTCTTGAAACTACCAAGATCATATTATAGTTAGAAAACCACTGAAAAATTCAATATCAAGTGTCTTCAGTTGCATATCTTTGTGAAAATCCTGGACTATATTACTTTCTTATTTTATGAGATCTTTTAATATTTAATATTACATAGACTTTTGATAAGTTTTTACAGACTGATGCATTTTCACTATCAAGATGTTCCTTATTTCAATAAACTTTTTAATGAATAGCCTTTTGCATAATTACCCTACATATAATGACAGGAAAATCATAAGATTATTATGGTCCAAAATGGCGAGTTTTCCCCACTTTTATCTTTCTACTTTTTATAAAATCTTTCCAGTAATAGGTTTCTTCACTGTAAAAATGTCTACAGAAGTAATGAAGAACTATGGAGATGACTTATTTATCTTTGTGCAATGGGAATTACCGGAGTCTTAAGTCTCCTTCAAATTTAAACAACTTATGTCTTCTGTAAAATAACCAAATTATGAAAAATTTAGGTATATCTAAAATTATGGACATGTCTTCTCATAAGCTGTATTGTTGCTTAATTTTACTATGAGAGACTCAATTTTCAGGTTTTAAAAACTCTTGTTTGTTTTTTGTAGGCAATTTTTTTTCAAACAAGGCTAAATTACAAAAAAGATGTTTAAATGGTCTTATAAAATTCATCATATATGCTTTTAAATGACATAAAAAGTAAGATTTGGCAGCAGATTTATAAACAAATCCTAAATTTTTACATTTGTTTTTTGATATTTTCTTTGTGTGTATACAATATGTAATTAAACAACTGAAAACATTTAAAATCAAACATTGCTTTATCCTGACTCCAAAGTAGCAGCTAAAGGAATCTCCTCTTGTGCCTAAAAGATATTTAAAGAAATATATCCATGCGTATAGCTACACTGCTGTCACCAACATTAGATCTCAATTGATAATATCAAGCAGTCCTGTCTTCTTCAGTACAAGATCCATGGCATAAATATATGCTGAAAAATATTTTATATGGAATACTGTTTATCCAGAAATTTACTGATTTAGAATTCACTAAATGCTTATATTCCCTGTAAATATGCCTATTCATAATAAGGAATATAAATAAACACAAAGAGGTACAGCAAGTCTTTTTCTGAAAACAAAAACAAAATAAAACAAAAACTTAAATTCAAAGTTTATAAATATAAGTTCATACTTATATTTATGAGTATATGTCAAATGGTTTTCTTCCTATGTTCCTTCCTTCCTTCCCTCTTCCTTTATTAAATTGTGATTTTTTTAAAAATTTAAAAATTTTAAAAAAATTTAAATTTAAAAATTTAAAAATTATTTAAATTTTTTAATTTTTAAAACTTTTTAAAAATTAAAAAATTTAATATGAGATCTACCTTCTTAATAATGTTTAAGTATACAATATAGCACTGTTATCCCAGCATAATGTTCTACAGCAGATCTCTTGCTGAACTGAAAGTTTATACCTTTTGACCAATGTCTCTCCATTTCCATCTTCCCCCAGCCCCTGAAAACCACCATTCTACTTTCTGCTTCTTTATATTTGGATATTTTAGATACCTCATAAGTGTAATCATGCAGCATAATTCTTCTAAGAATAAATACATGGCTTAATATAATGTCCTTAGTAGAATGTCCTCCAGGTTCATCAGTGTTGTCACATATTGGCAAGATTTTCTTCTTCTCTAAGGCTGAATAATATTCCATTGTATGCGTATCTTCTTTACCCATTCATCCATTGATGGGCACTTAGGTTGCTTCCATATTTTGGCTATTGCAACATATGCTGCAATGAATATAGGAGTGCATCCTTCTCCTTGTAAGATAATGGTTTCAATTTTTTGGATAGATACCGAGAAATAAGATTGCTGGATTACACAGTAGTTCTATTTTCTTTAAGTTAAAAAAAAAGCGGCACTTGAACTCACGACCCTGAGATCGAGAGTTGGACACTTAACCAACTGAACCACCCAGGTGCCCCCAGTAGTTCTGATTTTAATTTTTTTTAAAGATTTATTTATTTTTTTTGAGAGAGTGAGAATGAGAGAGAGAGAGAGTACATGAGAGCTGGGAGGGTCAGAGGGAGAAGCAGACTCTTTGCTGAGCAGGGAGCCTGATGCGGGACTCGATCCCGGGACTCCAGGATCATGACCTGAGCTGAAGGCAGTAGCTAACCAACTGAGCCACCCAGGTGCCCCTGATTTTAATTTTTGAGGAATTCCATACTGTTTCCTTACTGGTTGTACCATTTTACATTCCTATGACAGTGTATAAGTGTTCCAGTTTTTCCACATGCTTGGCAATGCTTTTTTTTTTTTAATTGCCATCTCATTGTGTGATATCTCATTGTGGTTTTGATTTGCATTTCCCTGATGATCAGTGATGTTGAACATCTTTTTGTGTGTCTGTTGGCCATTTGGATGTCTTTGGAGAAATGTCTGTTCATGTCTTCTTTGTGCCTAGTTGACATTATCTTCTTTATTTACGCCTATATTTCAAGCAGGGTACATCCCAGTAAGAAAACCCTTTGATACCTAGAAACATCATTCCTACCCTCATTGAAGAAAGTTCTCTCCGAACTTTTTGTTGGGTCTGAACTCACCATGTGGCAGGCATACAAGAAATCCCAGTCCTTCCACAGTCTTCATAAAAGCTTTTCATTACTTTATTTCTAGTGAATTTCAACCTGCTGCCAAATCTACATTCAAAAAATAATTTAAAGATAACTATTTTTTAAAATATTTTGCCATTATCTTCCCCTAAGTAAACTTCCATTTCTGCAAGTGGGTATACATGAAAGCATCTCCAGACATGGTGTGAAAAATTATATCCTCAAGGTATACAGCCTTAATATGTTGTCAGGTAAATTAATAAAGCTCATTTTGTAATTGACAGTTCTGTTTGAATTATTTCTAGACTCGAAAAATGAGAGTTGGGAAAAGTCATCAGCCATAATTCAAATGTGAATTATATTCTTTAATTTCAATTATTTGGATATTTCAGAGGAAAATGGTTTGGGTTTAAGTTATTAAACCAAGAGACTGATTTATATATCAAGATTACTTTTCTTTTTTGTTAAAATTGAAATAGTTTTAGGTTTAGTCGTAATCTTGTGTGCTACCATGGCTCTGGTTTCACTATCACAGTCTTGCATTATTATTGCTGTATAATGTTTTAAAAATTTTTATAAGAATATTGCAGTGTTTATATTAATTTGATTAATATTAATTATTTTAATGAAAATTCATTAACAGGAGAATTTCACTGTGGATTTGAAGATGGGAACATTTGTTTGTTCACCCAAGATGATACAGATAATTTTGACTGGACAAAGCAAAGTACTGCAACAAGAAATACAAAATATACTCCAAACACAGGACCTAACGCTGATCGTAGTGGCTCCAAAGAAGGTATGAGGGTATGAAATGTTGTGTTCATAACAATCATATTCCAGCCTTGGACTTTTAGAAATCAGTGCCATTAATATGACATGCAACAGAATGTTTAGTTATAGAGTTGAAGATTATGGGATAAAACATTAAATTTTTAATGTACAGTACCAATAATTCAGAAATTTCCAAGTCTGTAGACATGAATCTTCTCTCAGAACTCACACATATAGCTGAGAGATGGGAATTTTTTAATAATTCAAGTGTAAAATTCCAATTTTGTCTAAAGTTTTTATACATTTAAGCAATTTTATCTTTAATTATGTAGATCATTTATTTATTCTTTATATTATATATAAATAGTTAGTAAATGAGATCAACATTCTCCTGTGAATCTATAATTTACTTCATATAAAAACTCTAAAACTTCTTTATGATTTCAAATTTCATGTCACCTAATAATGTGCTTAAACATTTTATGTTGTCTTTTTAAAGGTTTTTATATGTACATTGAGACATCTCGACCCAGACTGGAAGGCGAAAAGGCCCGACTTCTCAGCCCTGTTTTCAGCATAGCTCCTAAAAACCCTTATGGCCCCACGAACACTGCGTATTGTTTCAGCTTCTTTTATCACATGTATGGACAACATATAGGTGAGATGACAAGAATTATTACAGTTCTTCTAGAGTAAATCATAACTAAGAAGAAAAAGGTTCACAAACACACAGCATGAAATCAATTTTAGTCAAAGAATATCATCGACTTTTAAATGACTTACCTTCAAATTGCAAAGTAAAATGCTAAGAATGTTCCCCTATCATTTCCTAATTTCCAAATTTTATATTAGAATTTGAACTTTTGGAGCATTACCTACCCCTTCTAGAATCCGCATTCAGGCAAATCATCAATGGGTTAAATTCGTTATGATCTTACTGTGAAATTAATACCAGTATAACTTAGGCTGTTTCTTTTCAAAGAAATTTGTGTGAATAATGACTCACCATGTATTCATGACCATGAAAAGGAGTGTTGCCATCTTTGCAAGACAAATACTTTTAGCACTGTCTACATATTTGGAATACTGGTATGATATTTTCTTGTTTATAAAGTATGCCTAACACACTTAGTAAGATTTAAGAACATCTTGGGTCCTGAAGAACACACAAAGATGAAGATACATTCCTTGCCCTTAGAGACCCATGTACAGTAATGGAGGCCAAGATGAGTAAATACATAATCATGCTGGATAGAATACTGCATAATCTTTAGGAAGAACCTAGCAGGGGTGCCTGGGTGGCTCAGCAGATTAAGCATCTGCCTTCAGCTCAGGTCATGATCCAGGGGTCCTGGAAGCAGCCCCACCTAGGGCTTCCTGCTCAGCGCGGAGTCTGCTGCTCCCTCTGCCTCTGCCTCTCCCCATGCTCATGCCCTCGCTCTCTCTCTCTCGTGTGCTCTCTCTCTCTCAAATAAATAAAATATTTTTTTTTTTTAAAAAGAAAGAACCTATTAAAACTCCTGCGAGAGGTGGGGAGAGATCATATGGGTCTACAGTTCTTTATGCACAATTCTAAAATCAAAAAAACTGAACACAAAATTTTTTAACTTAATTAAATTTGGCAGTGCATGCCAGCCTAATCTCCGTGCCTTAGAATATATGACCTGGGCTAATATGAACTTATTTATAGTCTTTATCCAAATAAGTGTGAGCATTTATACTATTTGCAGCAAAAACATTACTGGGTTTAATTATGAGATTCTGTTCCAGATCCTTCCAGAGACTGTCACGTAATATACAAGATATATATTCCTTTACCTGTCTAAAATAAGGCAAAATTCTGAATGGTGAAGCATCTAAGCTCACAGAATTTGGACCAGGGATTGTGGATCTGCATCTAGCTGAAGAATAAGGAAATGCTTAGGGACAATGGAAAACGTTTCTCTATGAAAGGAGGGTACATTTTCAATAAACAGAGATAAACACAGGGAAGATTAAGGTACTGATAATGAGGAATTAAAATGTGGGATGTTAGGAGGACATTAAGTGTTTTGATATAAATGAATAAAACTAAAAATATAAATATATAATTATATAAACTAATAAAATTGTGCACATGATCTGTTCCAGCTACTGCACTATTTAAGTGAAGTAATCCCCTTAATCAGTTCATAAAGATGGGCATCCCCACTCATCTTTTACAGTAGAGCACACAACCTCAGACAGTGCAAGTAACTGGTTATGCTGGGGCGTAAACTCATTGCCAGCACTATTAACCAGTGTTTTTCACAGTGGAGCACTAGGTGACAAATCTGGAAGGACAAACTTGGGCAGTCAAAAGTTCCCTTCACATGAAGTCGGGAAACCTGGGCAGGAACGCCGCTGTTAGCCCTCAGTCACTGTAGGAATTTACAGAATTCATTTAAAATGACTGGATCGTGGCCTCCTCACCTCTAGAATGAGAATAATCATTCCTATTTCAGAAATTTGCAGTGCAAGTGAAATAAGGTAACATATATAAAATCTCCTATCAGATGGTAGACGCTCATAATCTTAAGCTATTTTGAATCTCAAATAGCAGCAATAATAGCAACAGTAAAGTAATAGCTAATATTGATGGACCAGGTCACTATTCCTAATACGTCATGGATTATTTCTTTTAATTTTCACAATAAACATTTGTGGCTCCTTAAAATCATTATCCTGTTTCATAGATAAGGAAACTTGATACAGAGAATTTTACTTCACTTTACTTGCTGTAATGTCACAGCTGATAAATTGCGAAGCCATAATACCAACCTGGGAAGTGGACACAGAGTTTGTCTGCTTCTCCACCCTGCAGGGACACTTACTGGAGAGTTTTGAAAGCTTAACTCATTTAGTGGTAGGGGGAGACAGTACAGATTTTGTGCAAACAACGTGCATGATGAGATTTTTGATTTGGGAAAATAAATTTTCTAGGAGTGGGTAAAATCACTGAGAAACAGAACATAGACTGGAAAAGTGGATAGAAAATTATGACATAGTCATAGGTTCACTAGGACCTAACCTACGAAAAGAAATCTCCACACCAATGCCAAACTATCTGATTTATTGTGAGATTACGATCTTATTACAAAGGTAAGATTGGCTCAACTCTAATTTTTCCCATTAGCTGATGATGTATGTTTTACTTATTCTTTATTTCAAATATACTTCTTAGACTTCCTTTCCCTCCTTCCAGTTGACCTTGGAACAGGTGTATTTTAAATTGGCTTTTAAATAAGTAATTCCAAGATCAATATTTTGAATTACTTTAATGAGTAAAATATGCAGGTTCTGTTTTTATGAGGCTACCCCCTCTCAAAACTTCTGCATATTTATGTTGAGATCCAAGATAATTTTAATATACTTTTAACTTCACACTTGTTATTCTTACCCTCTTTATTGCTGATGAATGTCCCACTGACCTCCGCCAGTTTTATTCGGATTGTTTCAGGAAGAAGGCAGTTCTCCTCTTCTTCCAGGTTCTCATACATTTGCCACTTTGATGCCCGTGCCATTTCTGTTTTTCATCGGATGGTGGAGGTTTGCAGGTATCAGATCTGTCACTTGAGTCCCTCTCGGCAGGGCATGATCATGCTACATCGGGGCAAAAATGACTGTTCCAAACTGACTCATCATGAGGACCAGACGAATGACCTCATTAGGGAGAGGCTGCCTATAGCTGAAACCTTCCCTCTTCGCAGATGTTATTCTTTTTTTTTATATGACCTCACTGATATGAGGAATTCTTTTTTTAAATGTTCTATTGTTATGTTAATCACCATACATTACATCATTAGTTTTTGAGGTAGTGTTCCATGATTCATTGTTTCCGCATAACACACAGTGCTCCTTGCAGAACCTGCCCTCTTTAATACCCATCACCAGGCTAACCCATCCTCCCACCCCCCTCCCTTCTAGAATCCTCAGTTTGTTTTTCAGAGTCCATCGTCTCTCATGGTTCATCTCCCCCTCCAATTTCCCCCACTTCATTCATCCCCTCCTGCTATCTTTTTTTTTTTCTTAACATATATTGCATTATTTGTTTCAGAAGTACAGATCTGTGATTCAACAGTCTTACACAATTCACAGAGCTCACCATAGCACACACCCTCTCCAATGTCTATCACCCAGCCACCCCATCCCTCCCACTCACCACCACTCCAGCAACCCTCAGTTTGTTTCCTGAGATTAAGAATTCCTCATATCAGTGAGGTCATATGATGCATGTCTTTCTCTGATTGGCTTATTTCACTCAGCATAACACCCTCCAGTTCCATCCACGTCATTGCAAATGGCAAAAGCTCATTCCTTTTGATGGCTGCATAATATTCCATTGTGTATCTATACCACATCTTCTTTATCCAATTCATCTGTCGATGGACATCTTGGCTCTTTCCACAGTTTGGCTATTGTGGACATTGCTGCTATAAACATCGGGGTGCACGTACTTCTTCGGATCCCTACATTTGTATCTTTGGGGTAAATAGCCAGCAGTGCAATTACTGGATCGTATGGTAGCCTATTTTCAACTTTTTGAGGAACCTCCATACTGTTTTCCAGAGTGGCTGCAACAGCTTGCATTCCCACCAGCAGTGTAGGAGGGTTGCCTTTCTCTGCATCCCCACCAATATCTATCGTTTCCTGACTTGTTAATTTTAGCCATTCTGACTGTTATGAGGTGGTATCTCATTGTGGTTTTGATTTGGATTTCCCTGATGCCGAGCGATGTTGAGCACTTTTTCATGTGTCTGTTGGCCATTTGGAAGTCTTCTTTGGAAAAATGTCTGTTCATGTCTTCTGCCCATTTCTTGATTGGATTATTTGTTCTTTGGGTGTTGAGTTTGATAAGTTATTTATAGATTTTGGATACTAGCCCTTTATCTGATATGTCATTTGCAAATACCTTCTCCCATACTTTTGGTTGTCTTTTGGTTTTGTTGACTGTTTCTTTTGTTGTGCAAAAACTTTTTATCTTGATGAAGTCCCAATAGTTCATTTTTGCCCTTGCTTCCTTGCCTTTGGCGATGTTTCTAGGAAGAAGGTGCTGTGGCTGAGGTCGAAGAGGTTGCTGCCTGTGTTCTCCTTAGGATTTTGATGGACTCCTGCCTCACACTGAGGTCTTTCAACCATTTTGAGTGTATTTTTGTGTGTGGTGTAAGGAAGTGGTCCAGTTTCATTCTTCTGCATGTGGCTGTCCAATTTTCCCAACACCATTTGTTGAAGAGACTGTCTTTTTTCCATTGGATATTCTTTCCTGCTTTGTCAAAGATTAGTTGACCATAGAGTTGAGGGTCCATTTCTGGGCTCTCTATTCTGTTCCATTGATCGATGTGTCTGTTTTTGTGCCAGTACCATACTGTCTTGATGATGGCAGCTTTGTAATAGAGCTGGAAGTCCGGAATTGTGATGCCACCAGCTTTGCTTTTCTTTTTCAATATTCCTCTGGCTATTCGGGGTCTTCTGGTTCCATACAAATTTTAGGATGATTTGTTCCATTTCTTGAGAAAAGCTGATGGTATTTTAATGGGGATTGCATTGAATGTGTAGATTGCTCCAAGTAGCATTGACATCTTCACAGTATTTGTTCTTCCAATCGATGAGCATGGAACGTTTTTCCATTTCTTTGTGTCT